CCTGCGTTACGTATCGGAGAACCCAATCTTTTGGCGCCATAGTAAATGACGTACTATATTATTTCCACTAGGGCAGCGGACCCTCGGCATTAAATTACTCCCGAGAACTCCGGAGCAAAAGCAACAAAACCATCAAATATGGCTGAGCCTCTCGGCTCGTCCTGCAGCCGCCGCCGCCGCCGCCGCCGCGGGATCGGGACGCGCACACGTCCCCACACGCGGACACGCGCGGACACCCGCGCGGCGCGGCGCGCCCCTCGCCCCCCGCGGCCCGCGCGCGTACCTGCTGCGGAAGGCTTCGGCCGAGGCGCTGGGCTCCGCGCCGCATGAGTTCGGGCCGCGGCGGGAGGGCGGGCGGGGAGCCGGGCGGGCCCCCTGCGTTCGCCGGCGCGCACACACCCGGCACTCGCGCGGGGAGGCACTCTCGGCCGGGCGTTTGGCTGGTTATGGAGGAAGGACTGTGTGAATCAAACTCATTTCTGGGTCACTGCTGCCACAGGGGGGAGCACTTTAATCCCTTGCCAAAACGAAAGGGTGGGGACAGGAGGGCGGAGGGCGGAGGGAGCGCGGGGAGCCCGCGGCGCGGGGGGCTCCGCGTCCCTGGTTAACTCTTCGCGGGCCTGCCGCCGCCCGCTCGACCTGCGGCCGCGGGGGCGGGCACTGCTCAGCTGCGAGAGGCTCTTCCCGCATCTCCCCTGTGAGCCTAGACATTCTTGAGGTGTCTCCCGGCAGGGAAATGGTTTTTTACATGATCCCCTTCTAACTGTCCCAGTCCCAACTCTTGTCCGACATCACAGAACCTAGACCTGGATTCTTTCAAATTAGTTTAAAATTGTGCAGATAAACATGTGGCTAGTAAGGCGTAAAATTTGGGTGAGAGGTTTTATTTTTAGACTCAATGGTAAAATAAATAACTCATCTGTAGTAACAGTTTCGCATTAGAATGACATTTTTAAAGACAGAATCCAATGTTGGAGCTGGAACACGTCTTTACCTAAGTTAGTATCAAACTGATAATTGCAAATGAGCATTAATTCATTGGAAGATGGGGATCATGTTTATAAATTGACACCACCTTTCTGTTACACAGTACCACACCACTGGGCATCACCTTCCAAATATGAGAATTGAGCCCAAAGCTAAAACTGGAGTTGCAGACTAATACAAAATTAGTCATCAGAGATTCATTTTGGGGGTGAAAATGGGTGGTTATTGATTTTCCACTGAATACAGACTTGCTTTTTCATGGGAAGGTTGACATATTTCTTTCATGGACCCCCGCCCTAAAGAAATAAGGGTGCATATGATATTCAGCCTCAAAAGGAAAAAAGAACTCCGTAGGGATTAAAACGCCCATTCAGTAAATAGGAACAGTGATCACTAATTACAAAATTCAGTATCTAACCCAAAGGCATTGGATGCATTCTTCTGAATATATCCAGTTTGACCTCACACAGTCATACACCAAACCATCCACCCACATGAAGAATATACAATCTGATGAACGTGGCAAAACTAATTGAGCCTTCCCATTCCTTTTCAGAAAACAAAGTAAGCCAAAGGAAATCTTAAGACATAGCCTATTTCACTAACAAAGAGCACAAAGACACCACATCGGCCCAATTCATGTGCTCACTTAATCCTGTCCAAAGTGATCACGGATGTAAAGCACTAGGCTACCATTCTTACTATTGTTAGTATTGCATTGCAGTCATTATTTTCATTGGTTCACCTCACACAAACTCTACTGTGGAAGTGAAGTACACAGGTTCAGAGCCAGACAAACCCTGCACTGAACTGGCTCTACCTGTTATCAGTGTGTATCTGTTGGGTAAATAACAGTATTCTGAGCCTCAAGAGTAATAAAATGAGGTTAACAGCCCCTACCTAAAGGGTTGTTAAGAGGAATGAGATAAACCCATAAAAGTGCCCAACAGAGGCCCTGGCAGTAGGAGGTTATCAATTCCCTCAGCCATCCCTCCAATATCCCTTTCTTGGTCTTCTCTCCATGGAAAACTGCAACTTCTAAATTCCAACTAGACTTGCTTTACTCATTCCCCCTAAAATATTGAAGTTGCACTCGCCACTGGCCATTTTACATGTCTTTTACTGACTGTCTCCATTCCCAAAACATCAGGCAACAAAATCAAAGAAGTGAATAAATGGATAAGAAAATTAAAGAAGTAAAACGGCACCCAAATACCCCACACAGACAAATACACTGATCAAGACTGATGGTTCCAGGAACATCCTTTCAATTATGCCAATTCTTCTGAATAGTTATGGCTGAGGCAGTGTCATGTGCTATAAATAACCCTGGACCAGAAGACCCTGGACAAATCTCTTTGGGTCTTAGTTTTCCCACTGAGATGATAGACAAGATCAAATCTAACTCCTAATTTCTGATTGCTCTCACCTAATTTAAAAAGTGATTATTTACTGAGTAGAAGACAACTTGAATGGAGAAAGAACATGTAAAAAAAATTGTCATTAAATCATTAGCTGCTAACATTTAAAAAATAACAGGTGTCTTTTGCCATCAGACCTCCAAAGAAACTTATTTCTAAAATAGGAAAGGTGGTGACATGGTCTGCCTTCTGGCAGCACTGACAATACATGCTGGAATAAGAGGTACTACGCTGGCAGTTAGGCAGAGGAGTTTCTGGTTCCACTCTGTCACTTAGTTCTTGCCTTACCAAATCGCTGAGGATCGCCATTTCCCGATTTCTCAAATGGTTTTGTTAATTCATACTTTATTTTCCGAAATGAAAGGACAGTCAAGAAAATAGCTACTAAAGTAGTCAGTGTAGTTGAAATATTAAGATTCTAGTCTTTTCTGATCTGATCAGTATTCTTGGTGATAATTATAATTCTATATGTTCCTTGCATTTTGCTGTAGTCATACACAGTTTAATTATTTTCTTCCATATAATGGGTTTTTATGAAATAAAAATTTGGATAGTCATATTTCTGATTGTGAAACCATTCATAATTACACCTATAAATGTTTACTTAATCATTTCCTTTGTGTCTACTCTGTAGGTAAAGAATTATAAGGTCTTGACAAGAAATTCAGAATTATTTATACTTGAAGTGAAGTAGATTCACATGCTAAAGTACTATCTCATTCCTTTACAGAAATGAGCAAGAAATTCTTACTGACAAATACCATTGCCAATTGGTATACATTATGCTGCACAGAGAGAATTTTTTATTGCACAAGTACTCTCCTGGATAAAATGGGTTGTGTTCTAAAAATTTATTTGTACTTTGATTGTAACTTTGAATTTATGCCCCAAATAAACCCTGTTATGAAGAGAGCTTAGTTTGTTAAGTAATTTTAAAAAACAGTAATTTTAATAACTAAATGACAGAAAAGAATAACTTTATTAACTTTTTTGAGTGACGTTATTTGGGTGGGAGGGGATCTAATTCAAGGAGGAATTTATGGAATACTCTGAACAAGAAGAGTAAAGTTGGGAACAATGTTCAGCCCATGCCTGAACCACATGAGAAGAAACTGGAGGTCACAGGTAGGCGATTAGGACCAGAGCTCCCTGTCAGACCAGTCCATGAGGTCACCCATCCTGAAAGGCCAGGTAGGTGGTTACAACATTCCATTGTAAGAATGATTGGAAGGCCAATAACCAAGGTACTTTTTTGTTGATGTCAGTACCAACTAAATGTTTTTTCTGAGGTCTTCTTCTTCTTCTTCTTCTTCTTCTCTCTCTCTCTCTCTCTCTCTCTTCTTCTTCTTCTCTTCTTC